CTGCCACTGCAGGGCGGGGTAGCTGCGGGGGCAGGGGGAGGGGGCAGCGCGAGTGGGCGCGCGGCCTCGGGCGCGGGGGGAGGAAGTTTGATATGCAACCACGGGCCCGCCGTAAGCTGTCACCCTGGCGCACCCTGAGACAAAACCCTGCAAGGGAGATGCTGGAAGAAAGCGCCGTTTTCATGCGCAAAGCATTAACAACCACCCATCGAGACGACCAACAACTGAGAGAAACATGATCACGGCAGTTACCGCCGACAGGACAAGCCGCCCCGCACCCGCCTCCCCCCACCCCCACAACGCAAACACCAAAAGCACTAACATCCCAAAAGCACACGCACCGCGAGTCCTCCGAGAGCGGGGGTATGTCTACGCAGGGGAACTCAGCCAGTAGCGGAACGTCCGCCCCCAGCCGCCGCGCGCCGCCGGGGCACTGCACCGCCAGCAGCAGGGGGCCGCGCTGCACCTCCCGGTACCCTGGGGCACCGCCAATGCGTGTGTGTGTGTGTGTGTGTGTGTGTGTGTGTGTGTGTGTGTGTTCGTGGGCGGTCAGGGCGGAGTAGGAATCCCAACGGCGGCAGCCAACGGGGCCCCTGCGCGATCGCGCCGCTGAGCGAGCGGCGTGCGCCTGCAATCGCGCGAGCGCCCGGCGATCTCGGTTTGGGCGCACTCTGGGGTCCAGGGTTTACGGCCGGGGTCTAGGGGTCTAGCCCCCACGCATGAGAGCACGTTTCAGCTCCTGCATGGAGACCGCCTCTCACCGAGGACGGCGCGCTGCAGCAGGCGGGCAGCCTCTATGGCGTCTCCGCAGTACTCCGCCACCCACTCCACTCGCGACAGCGCATCAACCTGCGGGGACGATGGTCGAGGCGGGTGCGGTTGCGTCGGGGGTTTGGGGAGGCTGCGAGGGGGAGAAGCACAGGCGACGGGTCGTGCACGGGCGCGGCGCAAGTGAGGCGGTCTTGGGAAAACGCAGACGAACCAGGAGAGTGGGGGGGGTACGCCCCGCGGCCCCGCGGTCAGATGTTGTGGGGCCGCTGCTGCTGCACCATAGGCCCCCTGCGGCCGCTGCAAGCTCGGGCCGGCGGCCGCGGCGGCGCCGCCGCGGCCGCCACGGCTAAAGCACAAAGAACATTGGGTTCAGGGCCCACCTGCTCCTGCGTGTTGTGGCCCTGCGGCATGAGCACGCCCAGCCCGTCCCGCCACGCGCGCTCCAGCGCTGATGACGTCACCTGCGCGGCGAAATCGCGAACAAGGCGGAGCGTGGCAGGCGTGAGGGCCCAGCCACGGCCTCAACCCCTCAAAACCGCACACAAACTCGCCAACATGCATCCGCATCTGCAACGATGGATCCTTCCGTTCTCGCAAAACGGCGTTCGCGGCAGGCGCGGCGCCGGCGTTGTGAGGAGGGGTTTGGCGGCAGCGGAAACGGCAACGGTGGCGGCCTCCGCGCACCTCTCGCGCGGCGAGCGCCGAGGGCTGCACCACGACGACCAGCCCCCGCCCCGTGGCGGGCATGAGCAGGCAGAACACGCCGCGGCCGCGCCCCGCGTCAGCGCTCTGGTAGAGCGCGAGGTATCGCAGGGGGCCAAGGCCCTCGGGGCCGCCACCCTCCAGGTAGCCGCAGCGCGTGGTGTCCGCATACTGCGCAAAAGCGCGCATGTGTGTGTGTGTGTGTGTGTGTGTGTGTGTGTTGGGATTTAGGGGGCTGCGGGGGGCTGCTGCAGGGTGCTGGCAGGTTAGCAATTTGATGGCGCTGTGTCAGCACTGGCGCGCCGAGATGCCCGAGGGGGCCACTGGTAGGGCGAGGGCCGGCGGAGCCGCCGAACCTCACCCTAAGCGACGCCCCAGCAGACAACGCCTACCCCGCGCGCCCTTGCATGAACGCTTCTGTCCGGACGCCCCTTCAGATGCTTCTAACCACCAACTACCCCCCGTTCCCCCTCCCCACCCCCCACAACCCTAAGCCTTTTGCACACCGTCACACACACCTGCACGCCTGCATACACACACACACACACACACAACCTGTGAACCCCCCAACAACAACCCTGCTCACATGTACGCTTACAATTCCCCTCCCACCCACTCACCAACACCACACACATCTCTCTCTCCCTGACACACACGCACACACACACACACACACACACACGCACACACACACACCCTACACCCCCCACC